CTGACATATTTCAGACTTTCAAACTAACAGACAAACATCAGACAGAATCGAAGTTACAGTTAAGGAATTAATGATCAGTCTCAAAAGATAGCTACATGTTACTGTTTGATTGATTGAATATTTTATTAGACAGAAATGCAAACAGCACAGGTATAGTACTGTAAATTCCCTTAGCTCATAGTAAATATCCATTAGCTCACACACGCAAATACGTGATGATTTAACTAACACTGCTATTAGTCACGGTTGTTTGTTGTTAAACCCACCGCAGCAACCTGCCACACTGCTTCCTGGCGCTGCATCTCCATGCTCTCTCAAAGTTTACAAATGACTGATGAATTGTTGTTTTTACATCACTATTTTTGTAAAGATTAAACAACAACAATTTACTAAATGAATCCTGAAGCACGTTGATTTGGAAAGAGCTATGCTGCTGTAGCAGGTTACACCTGCTCTCTGTGCTAATCGCCTCCATGCTAGCTTCATACTTGACACATAGATGTGAGAATGGTGTTGTTGTTTTTTCATTTTAAAGTAAGCATTTAGGAGAGTACTGTAGGAGTTTTTCCCCCGAAGTGTCACACTAGTTCATGATCTAGTTAAAGATACTTGGCTAGAAACCCCTTTATCTTACCTATACATTATTAGCTTAGGCTACTGGTAAATGGCTGTCTTTTTAGAGCCTTGTTATGTCTTGTTTGATATCTGTCTGAGCGTGTCTATACAGAGCCTGTGTGTGCTTATGTTTTTGTAACATAGACTGCACATAAGATTGCCTAGCCCACAGAGCGTGAAGAAGTGAATTAAGGTGGGTGTCAGCATAGGTTACAAAATGACTAAGCTAACACTCTGTGTGACCAGCATCCAGTTTCTTCATGAGCATCGTCATGCATATAGAACAACTTCTCTCTGTGGGTTGGAATGATAATATCTCTAGTTTAGATACAGTAGACATAAAGGATCTTCTGTAAGCCACTATGACATGTTGTTTCGGTTAATCTCATATTCTATCAGGTTCTTGCCAGCGTGGCTTTAGGAAGAGGCCGTCTTAAACATGCCCTCGTCCCACGGGTCACACCTTTTCTTTAACTCAGAATTTACTGTAGACTGTTGCTGGGGAAGTTGGAGCTTATATTCTTGTAGCACTGCAGGGATTGTTTGGTCTCACCGGCATTAAAGCAAATGATGCAACTTGCAGAAGGGATTATTCTTAAGAGAAGGTGGCTGTGATTAGCTTTACTCCTCTGGGGGGAGATTCGGGAGTGCTAAGCTTCTTTTTTGTGCCTGACCTACCACACAAACCAAGTTGAGAAAAACGCAGTGAGGCAGAGAAGTGTTTTGTTTATTCATAATGAAACGAGATATATTTTCAGATTACTTTCAACATAATTTAGTGAAAAGGTTTTCTGATTGCTGTGGGGAATGTGGGTCATTTTGTCGGACGAAGAACAATAGGGTAGTGGATATTTAGCTAAATAAATGTAAATGGTAATATGCAATATTAAAAATCAACGTGCACATATTCAGAATTTTCTAAAATGTAACAAATGTATACATCCTAAAACACTTACAATCCTACAATCTGATTTAACAAACTGTTATCTTTTTCTCATTGTGTTACTATTTTGTAGGTCAACTCTCTACAGAGATGAATTGGTTACCACGCCAACCATTTTTTTCCCTCATCTTCTGTTGCTATGGTAACAGATGGGTGGTGACAGTTGACCTGATCTTCATCTGTAGATGATGTAATTGATAAATCACCAAGCCCTTACGTATAATAGATACATTTCGTCCGGACAGTTTGACCTTTGTCTTGTTGACTTTCCAAGCAATGTCATGCCTGGTAGTCTGTTTGGTCTCTGGTGGCATGATACAGCCATTTCATTGCTTTATAGTTAACAGCAATATAAGCCCAATTAAAAACTGTTCTCCGCCCCATTCCCTCAATGACATGTCCAGGACAGAAGGGCTATATTGGATTCAAATTAGATTGTACATCCAATACATTTGCATGAGCACCACACAATGTTAGTTCATTATAAGATAATGAAATCATGACAACACAGACCGTTATCTCAAATGAACACGCCAGAAACATTTATGACCACTATGGGTTTCAGCAGTTTTGCAACTGGTCTCACACCCATCCAATTCGAATAACACCAACAACAGCCTACAGCTATCCACTTGGAAATTAACTTGATTTAAAGACAGTTATGACCAAATCCTGCAGCTGTTAAGGAAAGATATGATATATTCCTTTGAATGTTTTGACTACTTCTAGTTACAGAAGTGAATCTACTTGACTTTTTCAAAGCTGTCACTTAACGCAAAGTAAGTCAGTTGTAATTTGGGCATTTTCATGTTGTTTCGTAGAGGATTATGCGCTGTAAGCATTTGTTGCCGTCATACACGGTATGTTCCCACTTCCTTGAGCTTGTATGTTATTATCTTGGCCTCCTGAAGGGCAGATCGTATATGGATTTTCAATAACAATGTCTATTTATATAGACAGATCACTAGTGGTCTTTTTCTGAAAGCCTTTGAGAATGGATGTATTATTAACTCATATTTGTGTACGTCTCGCCATCTCCTTCTTGTGAAGGGCATACCTCAGGAAAGCCTGGAAGTGACTTTTTCGAACTTGGAATAAAGGTCCACTTTGAGTACTGGTTAAAATAAAACAATTGTGTTCAAGAGTCAAGGTCACTGTGACCTCATAAAATAAAAAATTTGAAAGCCAACATTTTGCTCAAATGTCTAATGGGATAATAAAGTGACATTTTGTTTGAACAAGATCATAAGCTGTAACTTGGGTACTTGGCAGAGGCATACAACCGCAAGGTGGTTATTGTAGTTCATATAATGTATTGTATATGTCTGTTACCAGTTTCCAGAAACCTTTGTTATATTTGAAATAGATTGTTTGTCCAATTATCAGTCCAAAACCCGAAGATTCTTTAAATTACACGAAATAATAAGAATAGCAACAAATATAAACCTGCAAACAAGAAGTAAATATTGCTTCTTCTTTTACTTAATGGTCGATTTATTTATAATTTGTCAATTAATGCTTTAGTACTTTTCTGACCAAGGTTAAATAAAACATTTAAATGAATCCATTGACATTGAGAGGCAGGCCATTGTATGTAGGTCTTGTTTGTATATATTTCTGCAATGCTACACAATCTGCATGCTTAAATATATACACACAATTTTCACTTTCTTGTCTGCAATCAAAGAGCATAGTGGTTATTGAGTCACATCAACTGGTTTTATATTAATATATATTATATAACCCATCCAGTCCTGTCACTCATGAGTCACAGAGGCAGTGTGTCTGATGTTTGATGTGACCCGCTCCAGAGACGAGTCTGCTCCTCGCTTATTTTAGACCGGTGACGAAGGTCTGAAGTCTTCCTGAGCGACAGGCTGTCTCTTCGCCTGACTCTTGTTTACTAGTGTTTTTGTCACATGCTTACAGAATGAATCAAAACTGTGTTTGGGAAAACAGTAACGCTGGGGCACTGTTGTTGTGGTTTGGGTCTGGAGCAGCCTGGTGACCGGGCAGTGATTGGTGTATAAATGCAGTTCAGGCATGTTTGCATCTTTTGTCAGTATCCACCGGCAGAAAACTGGACTGAGAGAGAAAAACTGAAGGAAATGTCACAACATGCTGCATTTCAGATTTACCGGCGGCCACATTAACGGAGAGTTTGTTTAGTGTTTATTTAAATTCAAGTGCAAAAACAATTTAAGCTCCACTGAAAGGAGCAGCATTTATCCTCGTTTGCTCCTCCTCTTCTTCCTCTTGTTCTTCAGCTTCTTTTGTCTTCTTTTCTTTACTGGTGTTTTTCATTTTCTCATCCTTTCTTCCCCTTTTATCATTCATTTATTTTCTCCCAACTTCTTCCTCTGTTTCTCATTCTTCTCTTTGTTGTTTTGCTTTTCTCTTAATCTTTCTCCTCAAAATTCTCTGCTTCCTTTCACTTTGTTCTATACCTCCTTATTTTCCTCCTCCCTCCTTAACTCATACTCTCCCTTCCTCTTCCTCCTTCTTACTCCAATATAAAATAGACCTTAATCCCTACAGGTAAATGCAGGTGTCAGGTTCTCTTCCTTCTTCTACTCTTATTCCTCCTTCTCTTTATTCTTGTTATGCATCATTATTTCCATCATTATTTCCATCATCATATTCAGTAGTATTAGTCAGGCCGTTGAAGTACACCTCAAGGAGATCATTTATTCTGTCTGCCTCCGAAAAATATTAGTGTGACTCAAACTGCAATCTGTGATGCAGCTCCATCACTCACAGTGTGTCCTCTCAGCTGTTTCTCATAGTGCTGTGTTCTCCTCCAGCCCTTTGTGCTGTCATCAGGGGGGCGGAGGTGTAAATCCACTACACCTGGCTCCCTGCCTGCACCGCTGTATCCACCAATGCTCTTCCTCCCGAAGACTAACATTAGACTTGTCAATCCTTCCCCCTTACTGAACTATAGATGAACCTTTGTCAATGGCGTGGTTGACCTGTTCTAAATGTGATAATATGATAGGAATCGTATTAGTAGCGTGTTTGCCAGAAGGGAAACCACCTACATCTCTGTGTCTCACCATGGAGCTATAAAACTGTATTCTGTATCAAAATCTGTTATTTTTGTTACGTCTGTTTGCAGTTTGTAGGCCGCAAAAGAAGGACATTGTGGTGTAGCTTGAGTGTGAGCTATATATATTTTGGCTTTAAAATTCTAGCACAAGCTCCCCAAAAAATGCTGAAAATGTATACATCTTCAAATGCAGAATGAAAACACACCTGTTCCGACTGTAAACATTCAACATAACACCGACAACTAAATAAAATGTGTATAATACTCAAAAAGTGGAACTCATCTGAAATTCATCAGTTAAAATGTCTTGGCTTGTTTAAAGACAATGCACTTGCAGGTTTCTTTCCGTTCTAAGTCTGACCCATGCCCTTCCTCTCTTTCTTTTTGTTCTCAGGAGTTCGCTGCACTGACCAAGGAGCTGAACGCCTGCAGGGAGCAGCTGCTGGAGAAGGAGGAAGAGATCTCTGAGCTGAAGGCGGAGAGGAACAACACCAGGGTGAGGACAGCATTGACACACATCTTAAAACATTTTCTAAACTGTTTCCACTGCCACCAATTAATTAGATTCCACAGTTCCTTCATCTGCCACTGATTTATGATGGCAATTTATCTGAGGCATTCAGCAGGCCAATCCCTCAATGTTGTTTTGACATTTTAAACCACAAACAAGGTTTATGATTCTTTATTTGATATCCAAGCCACTAACATTTGAACTCCGTGAGTTGCACAACTTGGCCCAAATGTTTGTGTGTGCTGCAGAAAGCCTGCTGCACACTGCGATAGACTGAGTCCTGAGGAAGCTTAAGCTATCTGTTGCTACGGTTTTAAAGCTGCAGAGGCACTGAAGCAACCACTGTCTGTTTCCAATGCACAAACATACCTCATTAGCTCTCCACATTCCGCCTGAGCATTTTTCCACTTGCTTATGGATGGCTGCTCATACGTAACACTAAGTCCAAATGGCACTGATGCCCTGCAGTGTCCAGCATAGTATTTGATGGGAACACATTAGCAGGTCTGCTCGATTTTTGTGGAACCGACAGACTGTATCTTCAATGAAAAACATTTGCTTTTTAAATCAGTAAGCACACTCTGCTGTAGACAGATAAGACCCTGTTTTCCATCCCCACTGCTGATTAAGTGTGGCTGTTCAGTCTCGCACTCTGTGTGTAGGCAGAAGATTTTCAGCACGACAGCGAGTAAAAAACAACAGAAAGGAGGGAGGCGAGGCGGAGACGGACAAAAGTCATTCTCTTTCTCGCACTTGATTATCACTTAGAATCTTCTGAGGAGCAATTACCAAGCATTTTTAATTAAGCTGGGTTTTGTCGCTGGTAGGCTTTTACAATTCATAATTAAATCTTGGAAGGCGTGTACAGGCAGTTAATGGACAGAGGAGCTGACAACAGATGTGATGACAGTGGAGAGAAAAGTTAACTATCAGCTGTTTTAGACGATCATTCCATCCAAGAGTCATGCAGAGAGCCGGAGGACTGAATTAATCACTTAAAGGTCCCATATTATACTATCTCTGAATTGTTTTTCTCAAAATACCAAACAGATAACGCATGTTAGCACGACTCATACCCCTCTATTTCAGCCCTGTTACAAAAGTGCTGATTCTGGGTCTGGCCCTTTAAATGGAAATAAGCTGCTGCTGGCCACGCCCTTTTGGAGCATCCTTCCGCATGCTTTTATATCTGGCTTCTTTACACATATTTTCTCCAGTACAGCGTTAGCTCTGAGTTTTAGCAATGCTTGCTAATCTAAACACAAACCATATTACTTCCAAAACACGTCACGCATTTCCAATATGACGTCAAGTCAGCAGCAAATCTGGATCAGCTCCATAGTATCCCCGTTTTTAGAGATGTGCGTAAGGAGGAAAAGAGAGAGGGTTGTATTATCTGACACTTTGTGAGTCTCCTTACACACTGGGAACACATATGTATGTATAAAAGACATCAAAAGTGCCTTTTGCATAATAGATGACCTTTAAGACAGAACTCAAGGTAAATACTTGTTCTGACTTAATTCCACAGTTTGCAGGAGTATGTAGACATGATGGCTGCTGATGAAACTCCCAGTACAAGATAAACAAGTGAAGATACGACACTTAAGTCTCCTTTTGCAGCTTCCTTTAGTGCACCGAGCGGTAACTTTACCAGTGTATAACCACAGAATAAATTAAATCCATCTGCAGTTTGTTGGTTAGCGTTCAGTTAGGGATGTTCAGACTAGAGATAAAATGATTAATCTGGGAGAATAATAGCAAGCTTTTTCCAAGAAAATATTGGGGAGGTCATTTTGAGCTCTCCAAACCAGATTATTATCTTGGAGATGTATATGTCCTTGGATAATATCCGCCAGGGAATAAAGTGCATCACCTCAAAACTGCTTCATTGTTTCAATGATCTGGCGCCTGTGATTCACAAGGGGAAATTACAGATGATTATATTCTGATCCAGAAAATGTAAGAACAAATCATGAATTATGTTTTATCTCTGCAGCCAAACTGGTAATCTCTCTCCTAGTCACATCCTGGCTGTTTACTCCTAGTAGTTGCTGTGTTGTAGTTACCTTATATTCCTAGAGTCTTTCCCCTCGCTCTGCTTCCCATCTTCTCTGTCCGTTCAAACCTGTCTGCTGGCAGTTGAATGACATGCCACCTTGCAGCCTACATTAGCATTTTCCCTTTTGGGCACTGCAGTTACTTGCCCCTCTCATACCTTTACTGAAAAGCTGCTACACATACAGCAAATTTCTCCCCTAGAAAATTCCATAATTACCTTAAATGATTGATACTTGATGGCATTTTCTTAATCCACAAATGTTAAGATTAAGTCTGAATAAATTATAATTGTTTTATTTATTTATATGGTAGCCTCATTATGTTGTTTGAGGGAGCCTGCAAAACACAAATTAATATATTCTTTGTTCTTCCATCGTTTGCAATACTACTTAAATAAATAACAGGGTAAATAGCTTAGGTTTGGTGTGCAGCTAAGCCTTTCTCATTTCGCATTATTCCCACATTTTACCGGTAGATAACTTAATGAGACTGCTGCAAGGAGAATTAAAATGTTTCCAATCATGATGGTGGTTATGATGATGATATTAACAGTGATTCCCCCATTGTCCCCTCAGCTGCTGCTGGAGCATCTGGAGTGCCTTGTGTCCCGACACGAGCGGTCGCTCCGCATGACGGTGGTCAAGCGGCAGGCTCAGTCCCCCTCGGGGGTCTCCAGCGAGGTTGAGGTCCTCAAAGCGCTCAAGTCCTTGTTCGAACACCATAAAGCCCTAGATGAGAAGGTAAGGCTCCATTGGTGACTTTATAGGATTTATACCTTAAGACTTATTTTTGTTTTTGTACATTTTGGAACTTGTTCATCATAAAGTGAGTAGTTATTTCTTTGACCAGGGGTGATGTGATTGGATAACTCACAAGAGGGCTATATTATCTTTATACACTTTCTTTTCTGCGCTCCTGCTTAAACTAAATTTGTTTTCTTGCACCGTGTCCGTATAAATTGATTGGATGAATGTTGAGTTAGTTTCATAAACAATAAAAAAAAGTCTCCATTGGAGCAGCTTTTTTAATTTCAAGGTGTCTGCCCAAGAGGCAAGCACATAAATATTAGGAATCAGCCTGTTGGTTGTTTGAATCTGCAATTAAAACTATAATTAAGGATCTACTATCAGATTTTACATTTTAGTTGGCTCAATAAACAAAGCGGCAGAAAAAAGAATCTAAAAAGAATTTAAAAAAATTGTTTTATCTTGGGGCTTATTGGAAGAAACTCAATACCCTTAGCATTACAAGTGAATACCAAGTCGTAAAATCATCTAAAGTAAACAAATTAGAAAACACATGATATCAAGCTTACATTTTTCATAGTAGGCCTATACAGTATATGTATAGATATTTAAGATTAATTAAGCAGCACCAAACCAAACGCATGTCTCCTCTCATATTGTTATAGGTAGGTATTTGGCTGGAAGGCATAAAGTTGCCTTCCAACCACATTGACAACCATTCATTTAAATATTTCATTGGATTTTATATTTTGTGATATTTTCCAAATGTGTGTAATCATTCTGTAGATTCCAACCAAGCGTTCCTCCTGCCTCCTCACAGCCTGCTGATGTATGACATAAACCCCCTGTGTGATATCATCGGCAGCTCTGTAATCCATTCATCCTCTCCTCTAAAAGCCTTCATTTATAAAGCATGCCCAACCACATGCTGTTCGGCGAAATAAAAGCTGTCTTGGGCGGCAGGGGGTCCGTCCCGCCTCGGACCCCGGCTCACTTCTAATCAAGGATCAAGCTCCTCTGAGATCCGGCATCCTATTGGGCGGTGCGCGGACATCCAATAGGTGCGAGGGATTGCTCAATCACAGCCGACAGAATCCCTGAAGAAGACGCTATGAGTTCACAGAGGAACTTAGGAGGGGATATATCCTCGCAGCTTTTAAAGCAATAAAAGCCTAAAAAATGCTGCTTTGAAGCCACAACAAAGTGATATTGTCAGGCTGAGGGAGGAAAGAGGAGGTGTCGTATGCTCTGTTAACCCCTCATTGCCTTGACTGGATTTTTTGCAATGGGTGCGTCTGATCTGTCAGACCCTTTGCTGTCAGTCTTAAGATAATTCAAGAGTAAATATATAAGTATATATATATATATATATATATATATATATATATATATATATATAAGGGCTGTCAGTCGATTAAAATATCGTGATTAATCGCATGATGTCCATAGTTAATCGTGATTAATCGCAAACGAATCGCACATTTTCTATCTGCTCTAAATGTACCTTAGAGGAATATTTTTCAAGTTTTTAATACTCTTATCAACATATGAGTGGACAAATATGCTTTATGCAAATGTTTGTTTATTATCATTGGAACAATGACAAATATTCTCGTGAATATTCTCAACACAACAACCTGGAGCCTCTCTCTCACACTCTCCCAACCCTGTCTACTTCTTTGCATTGAGCCAGTTGCTCAAACAGACAAGCCTGTTTACAGTTGTCGGCGAAATGCCGCTCCTCTGTCTTCATACCATGCTTGAGACTGAAGTTCCCATAGAGTCAAAATAATGCGCTGTGATGTGCAGTCGACACGTTGGATGCGATCCGAATTATATAACGCAGCCCCTCGTCCTCCACAATGTTAAGCTGTAGCCACCCATTTAGCTATCGCTGTTGTTGTCCAGGCGTCTCCCCGGCAAACTTTCAAGCGTGGTCTGCCGCAAGCGAGCGGCAGGAGTGGGGCTGTCAGCATCAGCTGTGTGCTTGGCTTGCTGTTTAAAACACCCTTCCTTGTATCCATATCTCTCGCTAGAATCTCCCACCATCCAACTAACAACAACAACGTCAAGCTTTTTGGCTCTGAAACTACGGGGCGGGCCGAGGACAAATACTAGGGGTGTAACGGTTCACAAACATTTCGGTTCGGTACGTACCTCGGTT